AGGAGAGAGCACATGATCAAAGACTTTGAGCACAACTGAAAGCAACGTGATATAATTCATTTATATAGCGCTTTTTGTGATCTTAGTACAATCTCAAGCGCTTTAAAGCTGATGAAATACTTTTGATGTGTAATCAGTGTCCTGGTGTAGGAAACATGAGAACCAATTTGCATACAGGAAGTTCCACAAATAGTAATGTGATTCTAACCAGACAATCTGCTTCAGCAATGGGAGTTCAGAGATAAGTGTTGGCCTCCTGTTCTCTTTCCAAATAGTGCCATGCAATCTTCTATGCCCACCCAAAAAGGCAGAGAGTGCCTCTGTTTAACTTCTCGCCTGAAATTCTGCACTTCTGACAGTGTAGCACTCCCTCTGTACAAGACTGGAGTGTCCACATTGATTCTCCCCACAGCCCATCTCAAGGCCAGTCACGAACAAGACAATGGGGCCAATTCAGTTCGGTCCCCGACAGAGGCAGTTACATTTAAGTATTGTTCAGCCCCAGTTTATGTTCAGCCTTCAATGTACTTCTCTCTACCTGTGCGCCTAATGTCACAGAATCTCTGGATATTTAATGATCCCAATTTAAATGCGGTCTCCTGGGAATTGCTGTCACACCAATCAGCTGACAGCTGTAGATGGCAAGAGTTCACTAAAGCTTCACATGTCACTCGGAGCTGGTTGTCAGAGCCCGTTCGCTCTTACATTATGAAGCTCCGTAATGCCAGACTCCTGGGTTGCCAGAGGCAACAGTAATGGACTAATCCTTATTGTTCACCTCCAAGGTAATTCTTCAGTGGAATGTGCTATTCAAAAGCTTTGCAATGATACCATGACAGACACATTCAAGTAGCTGAGAGTTTGCAAAAGTGGGTTGGTATAATAGTAGACGAATAATTAGAGGGAAAGTGCAGTCACTTTACATTAGTGCGTCAAGTGCCCAAGGTGGTTGCAAGATATTTGCATAAGTGGAAAAGCTCTGACACATCTCTCTCCCTCTCTTGCTGTTTTCATTCTCTACTTTTAATTTGAATTCCAGGAGCCTGGTGGTGTCTGTGAGACACCTTGCAGTGTTTTTGCCATTAGCTCTGGCCTTCACAGCCCAGTGGAAGACTTCGTTTCACCTGTTCATATCCGCTGTAGCTTCAGGTGCATTGCAATGGGAACATTTGAACTGCATCTTAAAGTGTCAAATTCACATCCTTGAGTTTAAATGCCTTCTTGTCTCTGTATCATCCTCTTGCTCTATGACCACCGTCAAGCAGCCCCTTCCTGTAGCAGTCTAGGAAACAGGAGCAGAGAGTGGTGGGCGTGTGGAGTGGAATGGCAGCAATGGTAGTGGAGTCAGATACTATTGACACTTGTAAGTGACTCTTGGATAGGTACATGGAGGATAGTGAAATGTAGGGTATGCAGGGTAGATTGATCTTAGTAGGATAATAGGTCGGCACAACATCGTGGGCCGAAGGGCCTGTACTGTGCTGTACTGTTCTATGTTCTATTTTCTATGAAAGGCCATTCAGCCTCTTGACTCTGAACTAGATTATGGCCAACATTCATGCCAGCACTATCACCCCTGGAGATCTTCAATATTTAACATAGAAAATAGGTGCAGGAGTAGGCCATTCAGCCCTTTGAGCCTGCACTAGCATTCAGTATGATCATGGCTGGTCGTGCAATTTCGGTATCCCACTATCACTTCAGCCACAAGGGCCATATCCAGCTCCCTCTTGAATACATCTAACAAACTGGCCCCAACCACTTTCTATAGTAGAGAATTCCACAGGTTCACAACTCTCCGAGTAAAGAAATTCTTCCTCATCTCAATCCTGAATGACTTATCCCTTATTCTTAGACTGTGACCCCTAGTTCTGGACTTCCTCAACATTTGGGACATTCTTTCCGAATCTGGCCTGCCCAGTCCCATCAGGATTTTATATGTTTCTATGAGACACCCCCTCATTTTTCTAAATTCCAGTGAGTACAAGCCCAGTCGATCCAGTCTTTGTTCATATGTCAGTCCTGCCATCCTGGGAATCAGTCTGGTGAACCTTTGCTGGATTCTCTCAATAGCAAGAATATCCTTCCTCAGACGAGGAGACCAAAACTGCACGCAATACTCAAGGTGTTGCCTCACCAAGGCCCCGTATAACTGCAGCAAGAAACTTAGGAGACTGTCGATCTCTATCTTGAATGTCCTCAATCATTGACCCTCCACGGCTCTGTGGGGTAGAGAATTCCAATGGTTCACCACCCTCTTAGGAGAAAAGTCTTCCTCACCTCAGTGCTCGAGCTCAAAGGGGAAAATGGTTTGCTCCTGGTTCCTGTGCTTAAGCTTATGATTGCCACATTTAGAAAGATTCTCCAATTCAACAGTCCAGCAGGCTAGTTTATTAGTTCTTCCAGTCTTGTCTCTTATCTCTGTAGCCCTCAACATGTTTGTAGGGTAATGGGGATAAATATCTAAATGAAAATGATGGACATGCTGATGTAACTCTGACACAATAGTCACATGCTGGTGATACTTGAAGAAGACAGGAAGGGTAGAATCGTACAAGAGAGCCACAGTAAGTATTCTGTATATTAGAATGTAAGTAAAGAGTTTACAGCACCTCTTCAACTTCTACAGCAGTCATCTTCAATAAGGTAAGGACAAAGATACAGCAGACTCAGAATTGGAACAGTCCATCTAGAGCTAACACAGCGAGATGGAATAAATTTAAGGTGAGGAGCAAATAGTTTAGAGGAGATGTGAGAAAGAATTTTTTTCACCCAGAGAGTGGTAGAAATATGGAACATGCGACTTGAGAGGGTGGTGGAGCATTTAAGGAGCATCTGGATGAGCATTTAAAATGCCAGGGTATAGTGGGCTATTGACAAAGTGCAGGAAGTGGGATTAGTGTAGTTTGGTGATTGTTGGTTAGAACAGACATAGTGGGCCGAAGGAACAGTTTCTATGCTGTATGACTTTATGGTCATATCAACTGGTGAAGCAGGCTTAAGGGGCTGAATTGCCTAGTCTTGTGGTTATCATAAAGGGCTGTCCTTCTCAACCTTTCCTCTTGTCTGAAGCATGGTGACCCTCTGGTTAAATCACCATTAGTCGTCTCTCTAAAATGAGAAAGCAGCCCTATGGTTTTTTGGAACTATGACAATTTTATTTGCTTACTGCTCCTAGTTCTTCTATTATGTTCTGAACTCAGGACGTGTGCTGTACAAACCCATGGTAGGCACAATGCATGATGGTAGAACAATGTCCATGGAGGCAGGAGCTGGAACACAAGTCAGTTTTCACATGAGCTGAAATGTACGGATCCAGGTTTCCTTGCTGACTACCTTCCTTCTCAAACATAGTGCACAGTAACAAACCAAGAATATCAACTTCATTGAGCTGATAGCTCTCTCTTCTTTTGCTGTTCCCACCTTTGACCCACCTCTGCTCTGTCCATTGCATTAGTGGTCACTAACAGTAGATGTGAAAAGTCCAAAACCTTCCACAATGGAACTTGCCCTAACTTACTGCACAGGCCATGAGCTCACCACTGTGCTTGTGAGCTGGCCTAATTCAGCAGTCACGTGAGATGCAGAATGCTTGGATTTTTATAAATGACACGTGACACAACATTGCTGTACAGTTTTATGATGTAAATGCTGTGAGAATACAAACTGAAACCAAAACCTTGACTGCAAATCTGTGCACTGTAAGCACCCAACAAAAGGAAGGTCAGACCTAAGGACGGAAAGTGGATGATCATATTGTACAACAGGGAGAGTATCTGGTTCTGAGCTAGACGCACTGGATTCAAGTCCCAGTCCAGGACTTGTTGGCCAAGGAAGGTGCGTTCGTAAAACAGGTCGAGTGTCAGCTTACAAATTTTCAAGAGAGCACATCAATGACAGGTGGTAAGAGCAGGAAAAATGGCTAGCATGGGATGGGAAGACCGTTGGAGGCTGTAGCATCACTATGCAGAGCTCTGGGCTACGACACGTTTATAAAAGTGGATATAGCAACAATTCCCTGTGTGAACTGGGCAGAATACTGAGCGACCCCTCTGCTCCTCAGATGGTTCCATGGGAGGAACGTAGAACGTCTGTGTGAGTTCTCATCCTTTCCTGCCACCTCACTCCACCCTTGCCCCAATAATTCTGGTGCAATCCCCAAGGAGACGATGCAGACAGCTGATATCATTCTGCCAAACTTACAATGGAGGTTAAATCATTGATAATCAACCTGGGAATTGTCTCTGTTCTCAACAGTGGGCCAGAACTCCAGTTAGAGTCTTGAATAAGAATCAAAGCCTCCAAAAGCACAGTCCTACTTCAGTGTTATCACCGATTCATAGTCAGACTTGAAGCTTCTGTTAGAGGGTCATCAAGCCAACCAAGGTGAGAAGAGGTCGATCAAACTGTAACTAACCCATGCTGCACCTGTCCTGGGATAGTGTGGTGGAAACAATGTAGAACAATCTTCACTTTCAGTTTAAAAGAGTAGGGGAAGCTTTACTGTGGATCTGAGCCTGTGTTGACCCTGTTCTGGGGGTGATTAATGGGGACAATGTCAAGAAGGCTTTCCTTTCTGTCTACTTTCATTTTAAAAAGCACAGGGAGCTTTACTCTCAATCTAAAACCATGCCGTCTCTATCCTGGGAGTGTTTGATGTGGACACTGTAGAGAAAGCTTTACCTTCCATTTAAAAGAGTAGAGGCAACTTTATTCTGTATCTGGTACCGTGCTTACATATCTGGGAGTATGTGATGGGAACAGTGTGCATGAATCTTTACTCTGTATCTAACCCCGTGTTGTCCCTGTCCTGGCCATGTATGATAGGGACAGTGTAGAGGTAGCTTTACTTTCCATTTACATTTAGTTTGAAAGAATAGAGGAGGCTTTACTTTGTCTCTAACCCCATACTGTATTTGCCCTTGGAATTAAGAAATGATTATTTTTCACACTTTCCACAGCAGTTTCCAAGTGTGTAATTGGTTTTGTTTCTTCGGCAGGTGTAACAACCGTACACAGTGTGTGGTGGTGGCAGGTTCTGATGTCTTCCCTGACCCCTGCCCAGGGACCTACAAGTATCTGGAGATCCAGTATGAGTGCGTCCCCTACAGTAAGTAGCAGCTCCCATTCTAATTTCACCCTCATGGACCACTGCCCTTTGTGAAGAGCTTGTTTGTTCATTGTTGTTCTTGCCATGGAGATTGCCCCTGAATCCGGGGCACACTCTCCTGATCGTAACGACTGTGTATTGTGCTGAGGGGCACAGACATCACATCTTGGGCCTGTCCTTCGATTGGTTTCAGCAGGCATTGTCTGTCCGTCTCTGACTTCCCTTTCAGACGATCGCTCAGTGTTGAATCCAGCCAATCACAGCCCTGTCGCCAAGCCGTGAGTCAAATGACTGGCGCGGCTGGTCATTCGCTGCTAACCCTTTCCTTCTAACCCTGCTCACAGCTTCTTTTCAAGGCGTCTTCCTCGTTCCTCCTTTCTTCTCCCTCTTTTGTTTTTCTCCCCGCAGCGCAGTGAGAAGAGGACGCCAACATCTTTATGAGCTGCTTTTCCACACATCTAAGTTTGTTCATTTTTGCAAAGTTGGGGGAGGGGTGGCGTGGGCAGTGCAGGGGAAAGGGGTTCTTGTAGCTCTAGATATTCTCTAAACAACCTGTTCAGAGAGATGTTACCATGCACTTCTGGAGCAGGAGGGACTTAAACCCAGGTGTCCTGGCCCAGAAGTGGGGACACAGGCACTGCTCACAAGAGCCCTTTTCTCACTTTTTCTATAGTTACAACAAATGATATCATCTGTTAGATCACACTATATAGACTGCTGCTTCACAGCGTCAGGTTTGATTCCACCCTCCGGTGACTGTCTGTGTGGAGTTTCTCCCCGTGTCTGCGTGGGTTTCCACCGGGTGTTTGCGTTTCCTCCCACAGTCCAAAGATATGCAGGTTAGGTGGATTGGCCATGGGAAATTGCCCTGTAGTGACCAAGGATGTGCAGGCTAGATGGATTAGCCTTGGGAAATGCAGGTTACAGGGATTGGATGGGTCAGGGGTAGGGAGGTGCAGCTGGGTGGAATGCTGTTCAGAGGGTCGGTGCAGACACAATGGGCCAAATGGCCTCAATCCTCACTGTAGGGAGTCTGTGAGATCAAAGGATCTGCATCTTCTGACATCTGACAGCATGTGTCGCAGAGTCTGGTACAGCCCTCACTCCATGCACCCTCTCCCAATCCCAGTTCAGGTCATAGATTCTGATAGATGAGGGGGTGCACATCTATTTTCCACACCCAGTCCCATGTGATGTTTGAATCTGTTGGATGGTCTTCAGGGAAAATAACTTGCCCCAAGTCTCTGACAGTTTCCAGTGCTCCTCGCTCTCTGCATCTCTTTTCCTGGTGTGTTCTGCTGTCTGACCCCTGACCCTGCAGGTCAGTTCTGTCTTGAGACCCTTCACCATCTCCAATTCACCGGTAGGGTCCTTACTGGGATAGTTCAGGGCTGCTCCACTCCTGGAGAGCAGGCCACAGATATGTTTTTGAAACAACTTGTTCAGAGATGTTCTTACACACCTCTGGAGCAGGTAAGACCTGTCTCCAGAGCTCTGGACACTACCACTGCTCCACAAGACCATAACAGGCTGCAGACCAAATCCCTCCTCAAATCAAACACCAGGTTCTGGTAAATGGTCATCCCTTCTTCTACCACACCCTCCTGGGCAGCATGGTGGCTCAGTGGCTAGCACTGCTGCCTCACAGTGCCAGGGACCCAAGTTCGTTTCCAGCCTTGGGTGACTGTCTGTATGAAGTTTGCATATTATCCCCGTGCACGGTTTTCCTCTGGGTGCTCTGGTTTCCTCCCACAGCTCAAAGATGTGCAGGTTAAGCGGATTGGCTATGCTAAATTGCCCATAGTGCCCAGGAATGCGTAGTAACCATGAGAAATGCAGGGTTACAGGGATAGCGAGGGTAAAGGACTGATTGTGGGTGAGTTGCTCTTTGGCAGGTCGGTGCAGACACAATGGCCTGCTTCCAATCTTGCCCTTACTACAGACAGAGAAGGTTTGAGACAGGAAGGTGTCTGTTGAGGGGGAGTAGAAACTCTTGGGGTACATGGGGACATAGACTATTGCAGATACCCCCATCAAATTTAATGGTCAGAGATCTCAAAAAGGCTTGAACACAGAGGGAATGCTACTGACATATAAAACTCCAGCACAACCCTAGATCAAAGTTTCATTTTGAACACCATACCTCAGGAATTATATCATGGATATTGACCTCCAAAGAGTGAGAGCATGTAATAATGTTTACTCTGCCTGTTTTTAATGTAGATTTAGATTAATATTTACCTGTGCTGAGGTTACTCACCATAAATATTGAACTAAGTTCTCCTGATATCCACTATACTGACCTGGCAGGGGTGCAGCACAGTTCTATCAGATTGATTCCAGGAATAAAAGGGTTAAATTAGAAGGGCAGATTTTCCTTCTGAATTCATTCACACTCATGATGAGAGCTCCTGGGCAATTTAGGGATGATGGCATCACTGGTTAAACCACCATTTATTGGCCATCGCTGTTTGCCCAGTGGGTAGTTAAGAAACAACCACATTGCTGCGGGTCTGGAGTAACATGGAGGCCAGACCAGGTAAGGATGAGATTCCTCCCCTGAATGACGTTAGTGAACCAGATGTTTATTCCCCCTGAAAGTCAACAGGTCACCCTGAATGTCATAATTCCAGATTGTTATTGAATTCAAATGCCATTATCTGCTGTAGCAGAATTTGCACCTGGATCCCCAGAACGTTCCCTGGGTCTCTGCACAATGCCACTAGGCTATTGCATCTCTAGAGATTGCACATGTTCGGCTTGTATCGCCCTTCAGTACAGAAGACAAGGTGCACGAGCTGGTTAACAGCATTGAGGAAGCACATGTAGAGAAACTATTGCCTCTACTTGGTGGTGGAGGGTAAAGACCAGAACAGGGAGGGGAATAACCTCAAAATGAAGCCCAGTCCAGGGGTTATCAGGAAGTACGTCTTCACGCAAGGAGTAGTGAAAATGTAGAACTTACTGCTACCCCCTTGACTCCCACAATAACAACTGAGCCTGGGAGGCAATCGAAAATTTCACAGCTGAGTTTAATTGACTTATTTTGGGTTAAGTGAATCAGAGGTGGATGAATGAAGTTGAAATATAGATCAGCCATGGTCAGATCAAACATGCATGAGTGAGGGACTCAGAGCCCTTCATCATGACCTAAAACCTGCAAGCAACTTGTGCCAAATGTTCCCCAAAGAGTTTCAGGCCTACCACATCCCTGAACTCAAAGTGGAATATTGACTACCCCATCTTGCCACTGCCCAACTCCACTATCTCCCCCCTCATACCACCTCCTCCAACCCCCACGCTTCTCCACCCAAATTCCAGCTGGGGACATTCCGGAGAGTCTCAGCCAGAATTTTGTTGGAGGATACATTTTGACTTTCTCAGATTCTGATCGGGGTGTTTAAAATTTATAAGGACCCAACAATGAGGATGATCCGATAAGATCTGTAGGAATCATTTCCCCTGGAGGAATCCAGAACAATCCCAGGAGGGTACCATTAGATCTGGTCTGTTCAGCACTTTTTCCTGTGAAGTATAGGGGAAGATCTAAAACCCTCACGTCCAAACTGCTGAAGGAAAGTGGCTGGGAGCATTTAAAATATTGAAAATGGAGACCAATAGATTTTTATTAGGAATTGAAAGAAGGGATATGGTGCAAAAACACTTAATGCAGGAATGTCACACAGTAATTTCACCAGATTAGTAATCCAGAGATCCTATGAATGCTCTGGGAACAAAGGTTCAAAACCCACCACAGCAAGTGGTTGTTATCCAAATTCAATTAAAATCCTGGAATTTGAAGTTAATTTCAGTAATGGCAGCCAAAACAGCTATCATTGAATGATCTGGTTTACTTAAGTCATTTAGGGAAGGAAATCTCCTTTCTTTACTCAGTCTGGCCTACATGTGACTCCAGACCCACAGCAACGTGCATAGGAAATAAGTGTAGGCCCCTGCTTTATCACTCAACTGTACCAGGTTGATCTTCTACGTCAATACCATTTTCCCACAGTGTCGCAACATCTAATCTGGTTCACTAATGTCCTTCAGGGAAGGAAATCTGCCATCCTTACCCGATCTGGCCTACATGGCAAATGTGACTAGATTTATTTAGGATAACTGGTCAGCATGGATGAGTTGCATTGAAGGATCTGTTTCCATGCTGTATATCTCTATGACTCTCTTATGTGACTCCAGACCCATAGCAATGGGATTGACTCTTAATTGCCCTCTGAAATGACTCAGCGAGCCACTCAGTTCGAGGGCAGATCTCGATGAGTGGCAAACATTGGTCACATCGCTGACGCCCACATCCTATAAAAGATTGACCGTATTTTAATCAAATAACAGGACAGGGCTGAAGACTTGCTCCTTCGTGTTTTGGGTCAGCACGTTGGCTCAGTGGTTAGCACAGTTGCTTCACAGTGCCAGGGAGCTTGGTTCAATTCCACCCCTCAGGTGACTGTTTGTGTGGAGTTTGCATGTGCTTCCAAAAGGGTGAGATGTGAATGGTTCGTCAATCTGCTTTCACCCATTTTACAGAAGTGTGCAAATTGAAGATTTAACCCGTCTGCACCTCAGGGCAGGTGGGGCAGATTCCCGAAACTTTCACAATGTGGTTGGTAAACTTTTACAAAGTGACCCAGACACCTCTTAGTTTTCAGCTGTTTTGGTGCCTCCTTTAGTCCCCAGCAACAGTGCTGCCTCTGATATCATTTCTACAGCTTCCACAATGGGACTGCTACCAAAGGGGAGAGAATTAGCATCCCTGCCCACTGCCCATCCTGGGGTGAATAAGCTTGGGGCATTGCAAGCTAGGTGCTGGCTGCCTATCTCTGCCTCAGAAGTACCAAGGTGTTATCTGGTTGGTAGCACTCATGCCTCTGAGGTAAAGAGTCCAGTGACTTAAGATGTTCATTCAGGCCAAATGGTCCTGCACATTGCTGAGGGAGTGCTGCACTGTTGGAGGTGTGGGAAGTGTCAGAACAAGAATATGAAGT